TCCAGGGAGAAATCAGGCCCTGCCATTGATATGAGTGAGCCACGTGCATTTATGTATTCGCTGTGCTGGGATGGGCGAGGAGGGCAGGTAGAGCGTCAAGATCTCCATCGTCACAGCTCCCCAGACAAACACACAAGTCCACAGAGGGTGACGACACAGGCACTGCGAGGAAGCAGCACAAGACCTGCTCCTGGGACCACGGCAGGGGTGGGGAAGAGGCATAGAGAAGTCTTCCTGCAGAGAGTGACATTTAAGCTGACTTCTGAGAGTTAGGTAGGATTCAGCTAGGCTAAGAGTGGAGGCCATGCGTTGGGGCATTGCAGACAGTAATACGGCAGCCAGGAAGTGAGAGAGTGCAGCACATCTGAGTGACTGAAAGGATTTTTACTGGAGCAGGAAGATGGAAAGTGTGGGTGGGACTGGCGAGAGCTGAGGCTGAGAGGGTAGGCTCTGCAAAGTCAGGGGATACCAGCTCCTGCTCTCAAAGCCTGGCAAGGGGGCGGGGCACAGCCAGGGGAGGATAACACAGAACCGCTGTTGCCGGCGTATTGGTGTGAACACAGGGTTATGAAAACACAAACAAGAAAGTCCCTAATTCTACCTGGGGCCAGGGGGAAAGTGAGAGAAGAGGGACTACAACTGAGAAAATCTCAGAAAGGAAGTATTATCTGAGCTGAACCTAAAAGGAGTTTAAGATTCTGCCTGCATGGAAAGGATGGGAACTGGGAAGAACATTCCAAGCAAGAGAAACTGCACGAGCAAAAGCCCTCCCTACCAGTGTCTAAGTGGATAAATACAAATATCAGAACCCTCAAATCATTCATTACTAACATAGTACCTGGGGTAAATCTCTTTGAGTCAACAGACTCAAAGAATTTTTCTAAAAAGATGATTCTGGGCATTCCTTACCTCCATGATTCAGATACAACCAACACCTTTTCCTCTTCAGAATTAGGAGTCATCTTTACCCACTTTATGATTGCTAAGCAGGGTACAATATGATGACTCTCCTTTTTCTTAGAGGAATGAAACATAAAAGCAAAAACCCTGTCTTAAGAGGGGAAAAAACCAACTCCCTCTGGGTCTGGTGCAAAATTAAATTTTATGAGTTACTCAGCAGCAGGCAAGGCACAGAACGAAGCAGTGTGAAACCGCCTTTCAAAGTAACTGGAGTTGACAACTAAACTTGCTCAGTGAGGGGGAGAAAAGGAGTTAATAGAGGCAGAAGTCAGGCTTTTTATCCTTCACCTGAGCTGGTCCTTTTCATATGCTAAGTGCAACTCCAAGCAAGCTGGGTGAGGGAATCTAACACTATCATTAAAAAAATCAACACTGGGCTAAGGCAGACATCTCCTCCTGAGTCATATGCCACCCGGGGTTACAAGGAATAAGGTTAGCTTGCTGTGCTGGGCTGTAATTAACCAAATAATGACAATCAATTGAAGATAAGCATCCTTTCCCATCCCCCAAATGCACAACCCCCAAAACCTAACCTTGGCTTCCTGCACTATAATTGCTAAATTTCCACAGGATTGGTAGGTGGACATAGTCTCTGGGACAATGGGTTGTTCCATGGTGCCAGCTAAGAGCCAGTAAAAAATGGCTATACCATTATTGGAAGAGAGGGCCCAAACAACCAGAAGCCTTTTTTTATTTGTTTTCTTCCAAATTTCTAATTCTGAGAAGTTGGTGTCTGCAGAAACCAAATAGCACATCCTATGGTCTGGATTTTCAAAGTCATATCTTTGCACACGCCATGTCCCTGCTATTCCACAAAAATGAATTTATGAGTACAAATGAATGTGTTTAAGTATTTGCCATTTTATGGTTTATTAAATGCATACTGGAAAAAGCCACATTTTACAGACTGGAGAGGGCTCTTAAATTAAGAAGGTAAAAGGACAGAGAAAGAGCCCAGCTATTCCTCCATTCCTAGTAAATACTGAAGAAAAAAATAGGTCACATTAGAGCAGTGGTTCTTCAAGCATGGTCCCTGGATCAGCAGCATCAACATCACCTGAAAACTTGTTAGAAAAATAAGTTACTGGATCCCACCCTCCAGACCTACAGATTTGAAGTGGGTTTCAATAGCTCCTCCACGGCACTGGGTGCCCCTCAAGTTTGAGACCTGTTGCACCAGGACTGTGGTCCTTCGCCCCGGCTGCCCATTATCACCTGTTTGTCATCGCCTTCCCATCGCAGTGGCCCACCAGCCCGAGATCAAGTAACTCAGAATGCTTAGGATGGGGTCCAGGCACCGCTGCTTTCATAAAGCTCCCCAGGTGACGTGAACATGCAGTCCAGGTTGGGAGCTGCTATACGCTAGGACAAGAGAGATCTACTTTTGGATACTTTCGGACTTCTGATTTTCAGTTTAGCTCAAAGTAATCATGGCCACTGAATGAGTCCTATTCATCGAAGAGGCTTTTGAGAAGAGGAGAGAGATTTCCATCCTCACGAGCTGGAGAGGTGAGATCTGAAGCTCACCAGAAGCATCAAAATTTGCACCAAACTCAGTGATGAAAACAGTATTTAATAAGTCGTCCAGCAAAGAGAGTTGCTCACCTTGAGAAGGGGTGGGCTGGTTCCCACAGTTCGAATTTATCACAAAAGCAATGCACTCAGAGCCAGGGAAGAGTGACACCGCGCCTCCCACACACCTCAAGTCCAGATGCCACCGGCCCCCACAGGGAGCTCAGAGCCACCCACTCATTTCTCGGCTTTGAAGCCCTAAGTACTGAGGGTGTGTAAGACAGCAGCCTCTTCTCACCAGTGTCTGGTGTTATGGAATGTGCAAAATGATGACAGCTGGTCACGGTAGAACTCTAGGGGGGGCCACTCTCTTGGGATAGGCAGAGCCTCAGCATCCTGCTTTGCAAGTAAACTGTGAACTGGGGCTATCCTTCTACCCGAATCAGGAACTTGACAATCAGCCCATTATAACTGGGTTCCTCAAACTGAGGTACGCTGTCATATTCCTACGGGTCTATGATTTTTTCCCCCATTAAAAGGGATCTGAACATTATTGACATGTAAAAAAAAAAAAAAGGAAAAACACTGCAAACTGGCTTTTCAACCAAGAGAGGCAATATTCTTTAGGATGTTACTACAGAAATGATGGCCAACCCTCATGTTTCTACACTGTAAGTAGGAGTAAGACCAAACTCTCCCTTAAAAAAAACAATAAGAAAAGATCAAATAGCAAACTCTGGAACCAGCTCAATAGCTGACTAGTGAACGTGCTTACAGAAACATCATCATCCCAACATCATCACCTGAACGAATCTTGAATATCTAAACTCTTGGGTGTTATACTCCCTTTCCGTAGAACAAGAGTGGGGATAAGAAGAAAAAGAGAAGGAAAGGCCATGTCTTCAGATCTGCTACGCCTATGATTCCACAGACTCTGGAGTCTGACTGACCTGGGTTTGAATTTTGACCCTGATATTTATCTGCTGTCTGGCCTTGAATGTTAATTAAAAGTCTATGAATTTCAGTTTTTTCATCTATAAAATGGGAATAATGAGCCTTAATATCTAGGATTGGGGTGAGCAGAGAGAACGCACAGATTGCATTTAGCACAGTGTCTAGAAACCAACCCATAAAGTAACAACTGTAATAAAAACTTATTCACCCTTGAATACCAGCTGAAGTGTTACCTCCTTTGTGAAGGCTTCCTTGACAAAAATGCTTACACACACACACACACACACACACACACACACACACAGTCCTTTGTAGCTCTTGCACCCCTTCTAGATTTTAGTCATTACACTGTATCACAATTGCTTATTTGCATATCTGTATAGATTTTCCTAAGGAAAGAGACCATGCCTTTAAAATGTCCCCGATGCCTAGCATACACCTGGTGCATCATAAGTATTTCTAATGAATGAGTGAATGAATGAATGAATGAATCAAGCTCCTGCATTTGCCTAGCAATAAGATAAGAAGCAGCTCAGTTAGGGTGGTTAAAAATAGAAACGGAAAGACAGGAGAGACAGCCTACAAGGAAACCGGTAACAAAGGCCGACTGGGGGATGAGAGCAGTGAAAGAATGTCGCTCTGCAGAGTTCTCTAAGCGTAGTCAGTCACAGACACAGTTTATCCAGAGAGCTCTTCTCTGACTATTTTCTAGGGAAGAGAGAGAGGGGGGCAATGCTCACACAAATACTTAGAAAAGATTTGTTGTTGTTCAGGTCTATGTAGTCCTCTGAAACCAGTCCCAGCTAAGGGCAGGGTACCTCGTGGACACTGCTCCAGGACAAGGTGGAGCTGACAAAGGAACGTGGGTCAAGTCAAGAACCCTTACGTCCCTCTTTCAGTTCGTAAGAATTCTGCGCCTGTGTCTGATCACTACCTCTCCATCTGGCTTATCGTCTTCTTCATATTCTGCCCTTTGGAAGCCCTCCCCTTACTCCCACTGAGACTTTCTTTTTGGTTCCATCCCTGCCTAATTTTGGAATGACATGTGCAAAGTACGCACTGGCTTCCCGGTCACAGCCATCTCCCTGCCACCATCCCACTCCGTGCCCTATCTCTTCAGTCTGCGGCTGGGCAGTGTGCTCATCCAGGAAGAATCTTAATCATTTTAACCATTGCAGAGGATCACTGGAGAAACAAACCCAAGGAAATCAGCTAAGAAAGCAGATAAGAGGGTTTTCTTGGCTGTGTAGGCACAGGAAACTCCCCCGCCCACCCCTGCAGGGCAGGGCCTGAGTAAATGGACTCATCTACTGGTTCGGCAATGTCCATATCTACACTCTGAGAAAGCCCGCCCAATAAGACACATGGTGACAGAATGTTTCACAGTGAACTCCAGTCCCCAAGCCATCTTTCACAACAGCGGGGCTTGGTCACGGTAAAAGTAGGCCTGCCGAGCAAGCCGTTGACTTTTATCTTTAGACTTCCGCTGGTATTCATCAGCATCAATGTTTTAGAACTTAATCGACTCAGGCCTAGTCTGAGTCCAGGACAGCTACATCATTGAGGGGACTCACCGCATCCTGACAGCTGAGGACCTCCAGGATGCTGTTGAGCAGTTCCACGCAGTACTTCTTCTCCAGGACCTGGTGCTGCATGTCGTCCTTCTGTTCCAGCAGCTCCTTCAGCTCTTTGGTGATGACAGGAAGCAGAATGTCCCGGCACTCTGGAATGAAGACAGTTCGGAGGCATGTGGACTTCCTCATTTTTCAGTTTCTTTTCTTTCTTTCATATATATGAAAACTTTTCCATCAAATAAATTTTTCATGAATATATTCTCCTTATAAAGAATTAAAATATTAAAGATTAGGCTAAGATTTTCTTGGAACATCATTTACAGTACTGGTCCCTCCCCTAACCCTTGCTACACAGGGGCAATCAATTATTTTACTTCCTAAAATAAAATACTGGTACATTTACATATGTGTGCACATGTGTGTTTTATGTGCATGTGTATGTGTGTTTACATATAAATGTACCGCTATAGTATGAAATATCTATTGTCACTTTGATTTTGTTTTTCATTTGAGTAAGTCATGTTATACTGTGATTATAAACCTCCAAGATCTCTTTATATGATTTTACATACGTATGTATCAGTATAAAACATACAGTGTCATTTTGTTTTGTTTCCTTGTTACAAAAGGGGACCATGCTATATGTGTTACTCTGCATCTTGCTGTTTTTTCACTCACCAGTATTTCTTGGAGCATTTTATATGTTATTACATATAGGGACCAACTTAATTACTTTTATCTGTTTTGTAGTATTCTCTATTATGGATATATTTGTTTATTCAACCATATGTGTTTCAATGGACATATTTCACTGGTACAAACAGTACAAAATGAACAACATTCTACTTGCATCCTTGGCACATTACTTTCATTTTAAATAAATTAAAACTTTTGCAGAGAAGGGTATCTCTCCAGACATTGCTCTCTAGGGAAATTTCTGGAACGTTCTGAAGTCCTACACAGCTTTGTCTCTGTATTTCCCTTGAAAATAGAAAAACCTTGAGGGATCAAAGGAAAAAAAAATCCAAAAATGTGTCGAGCCAACCCTTCCCAGATGCTACTTGAACTGAGATGTGAATCATATATACCAATATTTTACTTTAATTCAATCCACCAGATAGATGTTGAACATCTTTGATGTGGAAGGCACTGTATTTCCGGAGGTACAGAGATAAGATATGGTTCCTGCCCATTAGGTACATAAAATCTGACAGGAGTGATTGTAAAACAAAACAAAACAAAACAAACCAATGAGCAATGGCGGACGTCTGAGTAAGACAATGGTGGGAAGAGGTAGAGACACGTCGTACTCTGTCAGCCCAACAACTACACTCCCTTCTTCTGGCACACCACCCTGACGACACTCCAGGAGCCATCCTGCCATGGGCTATAATCCTGGGGAAGCCGTCGTAGGGTCCCTACCTTCCTCTGGGAAAGAGCCGGCACCTGACCCCAGTTAGGATGGCGGCCTGAAATCTGAATCTTGAGGGAACGTTAGTAACTGTAACTGCTGGCATTACTTATTACTGTCTACTGGGTGCTCGCACTGTGCTAGGCACTGTTTCAAGTGTCATACATGAATTACCTCAGTTAAACACCCCAGCCACTCTAGGAGGTGGATACTATTATTTCTCCATTTTGCTGATGAGGAAACGAACGGACTTGCCCTGTATACACAGCTAGTAAGTGACGGACCCAATGTGACTACAGGGCCTGTGCTTTTAACCACTATACGAAATGCACAGTCTCTCGTGGGGCTCGGCTGTCGTCACAGAAGTGCCCTGAGGAGGCTGTCCGTGGGCACCTCATGCTTCCCCTCTCCCTCCCAGATCCTGGGTCTCTCCTCTACTGTGACTGGTTCCCCAGCTTTCCCTCTGATCCTGTAAGCTATTCCCTATCTTCCAAATACATTTGTTTCTATTTAAATTTACCAGAGTAGGGTTCTGTTGCTTGCAGCCAAAGAATGCCAACTGGTAGAGTCATAAAATGCCATGAGAGCTTCAGAAGGGAGATATGAGCTCTGGTTGGAAGGCTCACAGAAGACTTCACAGGCTCTAATAGAGTTCTGTTCCTTCTCTCAGAGTCCCAGTCTCAGTTTTTAATTATATTCTAATTAGTATAATTAACGTCCATTCATCCCACCAAAGTGTAAGCCCCATGAGAACTAGACTAAAATTCCAGTGCCTAATACAGTGCCTGGGTCATAGGAGTGACCTTGGTTGAACTGAATGGAAGAGGTGGCATTTGAGATGGTCCCCAACAAATGGGTAATATTGCCATAGGAAGAGTGTGGATTTAGACAACAGTGGGTGATTTAGAGTACACAGATGGATGGTAAGTGGAATATCTTCTTGGAAGTAGAATAATGAGAGATAACACTTAAAATAAGAGTTCCTAAATGCAATAGGAGGTGTCAGTACTATGGAAACAGAAAATCATAGACAACAAAAACTTTAATTCAGCTTGTTTAAATTTGTAGATAAAATCATAGGCTAAGGGTTCAATGATACTTTATGAGAAATCTGGACTTAAGAAACTGTTGGCCTAAGAATGTTCAAGAACACTGGACACTGAGTTAGCCATTACCCTTTGTTTAGAGAGATAAGGGAGAAAGTTGGAGAGTGTTTAAATATCAATTACTATATCGTTAAATGAAATGTATAGTTAATCCATATCCTGTCATCATAAAGTTGAGTTTTTATCCAGATCTATTGTATAAAAAATTTTTTGCAATGTTTGTTCAAAAGTTTATTTTAAATGTTATCTTTAAGAGGACGTGAACTTGTAACTTTGAAACATTTTGTTTGCTAGAGGGAAATTACATGTGTTAGAATGCTTCTTGTAGAAAAGCTAGGTGAGTTCATTTGAAGTGGTTAAACTCTTTGTCATTGGAAAATGAATAACCTCACCAAATTCATGATTCTTCCAATTATGCCTTCACTGATGTCATCACAACTAAACCCAACCAGAAGATAAGAAGTGTGCATTCTCCTATTAAGTTGGATAAAAATTGTAAAGTCTTCTCTTTGAAAAGTTAAATCAGTAAGAGATTCTAACAATGGAGATTTAAAACACAACAAAAAGTCTTGTTTTTACACAGTTCTCTGGGCAAAATGGAGTCACCAAAAGATGTGTGTTAAGGAGACTTGTGTCGTTTTGTGTCATTGCAGGGTGGGGTGGCTGAGATCAAGAGGCAGAGATCCATGAAGGTGCCATCGCAGTAATCCAGGGGAGGACAACGAGAATAAAGTGCTGGAGACCCCTACCCCAGAGTCTTCGCGTCTGACACGATGTACTTGTCTTCTGCTGAAGCTAAAGATTTGATAAGCCTTCAAAGAAAGGTGGTAAGAAACAGACCAGAGTGGTCAATAGTCTGAAGTTTAACATATAAGAAGAAGACAACATTTTAAGGCCTAAAATAGCTTTTTGTGACTAAAGATTAAAAATCTTTTAAAACTCTGCCCATCTGCAAAATGAGATCCCCAGAACCTACAGGAAGGAGCTATGTAAAGGCAGGTGAAGAGCCAACCCATTCGTGCAGTCAATTACCTCAGTCACCCATGCAGTCTTCCCCATCTATTGAGGGCTCACCACGAGCAGCTGCTATCGTGAGGTGGAAGGGAACGACCAGGGGTTAACTGCGCATCACAGCAATGGAGCCAACAGAGATAAGAAGCAGACTCGAGTAGACAAGAAAAAATACCTAATGCCTTTACCTCTTGGGAGTGGCAATTTGTTAGGAGTGGCCGTAAAACAGAGCAGTGGAATAACCGAGGTAAGGATTTTCTTAAAAGTTCAGTCTGTTAGTACTCTAGTTGCGATACCTCAGATATCCCATTACAAAGACGTGAATCCAAGGGAAAAGGCCACTTGGGATATTTTAGTGATCTTAATTGATATTAGGTATTAATTGAGTGATATTAATGATCAACTTGGGAAGTCACTAGACTTTACATACTACTTAAAATTGAGCTAAATTAGTAGATTCTCATGGAAAGGTCCAGTAGTGAGTTCTCCACCACTAGAAGTATTCAAGCAGTAGGTAGCTGCCTACGGACAGGGATGATGAGGAGGTAAGGTATCAGATGAAGGGTTGAGGTAAATGATTGCTAAGCCCCATCCAAAATTCTAGGATTCTATAAAATATAGATTCAGGGAAAGTCGTAGGAAGAAGGATACTTTTACAAGGTGGAAAGCCAGTGGACCCGTTTGCATTGTTCTCAAAGCACTGAGGCTGTGGGAGCTGCAGACCAGGCCCCAGCAGAAGCAATGGTTTGTCAATCTGAAAGGCATCGGCTTTAGCAAAACCAGCGTCACCATAAGATGGAGGCTTTTGAGAGTCGGCAAGATTTTCAGCGAGGAAGCCATTAGTCACATGGCCAGTTTTTCAGAAAGTACTTTGTCTTCTCTCTAACCATGATTTCTCAGAAATGTCTAGCTCCTCTGTTTTTAGATGAAATAATTTTTCTCATTTGTAATTGGAGCTGTGAAATTATATTAGTCTGCAAAGCTTCAGGAAGCAGCATTTCTAAATCGTTGCTTGATTGTCAAGCAAACACACACAAACGGTTTAAAAGATAAATATTGCGAACCCTAAATCAATCTTCATAGGCAGAGGCAATGAACACCAGCGTCCTGCATGCTCAAGCTGGGCTCCTGCCCCAGGTACCTGATGTCTGGCAAAGGCTAGAAGATCTGCCACCAAGAGACAAGTCCAAATCGTACTTCTGGCCAGCCACAGAGGAATCTGCAGAGCTACTCAACTCTGCATTTCAATTGTAAAGAGTTTTCCTTTGTCCAAGTGACTGCAGAGAGGAAAATGTAGTGTTTCTGGGCTCTGGGCTCTCTTTTCCTCAGTAAAGTTCTGTCCTGTGGCAGTCAGTGTTTCCTATCTGAATTCACACCCCGTTGAAGTGCCATGTGCTTTTGCAATTATGTTGTGATTCAGGGACTCTACAAATAGGAAGACTCTTTTCCCCACCTGCTCCTCCTCATTATCAGCCCCACGGAAGGAACTAAATAGAAATTCTTTGCCCACTTTGCAAAACCACCTCGAAGTGCATTAGGCCGAAATACGTCTGTGACCACCGCCACAGTCCCAGCTCCTAAGAACCTTGTTGGAATTGACTATTGTCCCCGTAAGTTTGTT